TATATATATATACATACATATATATATACATACATGCATGCATGCATGCATGCATGCATGCATGCATGCATGCATACATACATACATACATACATACACACCTACATTGTCACACATCGTAGCTCTGCCCAGGGGATGGATTTGTGGGAGGCGCTGGCTGAGTGTGGAAACAGCGTCGCAATGCTCTGCCCGCATCCATGTCGAAGGTGGGCTTTCCTGGCGAAGGGACCTGGGCACGATGTCGTTTCGCTATTATCACGTGTCGACGCCTGAGTGTCTGACGACTCAAGCACGTGCTTCATCTGCTCTCAGTCGGTAGACACCCGCAGGACATCGGTGGTGAGTTACATGTTGCAAGTTGCAAGGCCTCCATCGACTGAGTTGTCAGATTTGCCTCCCTCCCCCCGAGGCTTTCGTCGGCACATGCCACATGCTGCTTGTGAGCTATTGTGAGCTACTTGCATGCTCCCGCGAGCGCATTCGTGCTTTGTTCGCAGATACCCGACGCCTTCCGTCTTCTGGTTGCAGCAGGGCTTTATGGCGGAGCCGGCACGGCATGTGCTGCTACCGGACGCCTGGAGTCCCGGAGCAGCTTCACCTCTGAGAACTCCCTATAAGTAACTCTTTTTCCCAAGGCCTGGGCTTCGGAGCCTGAGACTTAGTCCGACTGTGCCATGAGCTGCCTGGCCTGGGATGACAGCTGAGGTGGCCCTTTATGTCTCACTGGGTCTCGCGCGGCCGCTCTCTCAGTTTTGCTGCGGGATAGGATGGGTATAAGCTTCTGTCAATCTCAGGATTTTCCCTCAGCGTTGGCTCCTCGTGGCCAGCGACTCACGTCGAAGATGGATGTTGCTCTTCACCATGGCTCTTCTTTCGCCGAGGTTGCCATCGTGCCGGTCGGTGTTCTCAACTGGCCCTGCCCTAAGCATGTCATTCTGACCGACTCAAAGGCTCTTCTTGAAACGCTTTGAGGCTGCTAGTGCATTCTTCTGGGCCACTGACGCACGTGATCCCTGCGTTGGTCGTGGCAGTGTCGGGGAGCCCGGCCGGGGGACAGCTCTGGACATGTGCGCGGCATCATTCTGTTGATCAACAGGTCCGAGCTCTGTTGGGTGCGGACGATGCAAAAGGCCTGTCTCCGAGTGCTTGAAGCTGGTCTCTGCGAATTCCACATCCGCCGGACAGGTGCTGGATGAGTGGTTCGAGAGCTTTGTTGCCCTTATGTTCTTCTACCTTGGGACGGTCATGGTCTTTGCGTGGCAGCCTCGGACGGTCTCGGCGGTATAGGGTATCTGCACCGGCAGTGGCTGCTGAATCTGGGAAGACACCAGCTTCAGAGAATTTCAGAGACTTCAGGGCGCCGTTCCGGATCCGCACCGTAGTCAGCCTCGGTGTTCCTTCCAAGCGAAGCCTTCCTTGTCTTATTGCCTCCGCAGCCATGGTCCTTTCGCGCCTTCTGAGCCTGGCCGCTGCCGGAGTGGCAGTGGCTCTCGCAGACACCTGCGACGTGGAGGGCTCTGCTCGAAAGGACTGCGGTGTCCTGGGCACGACGCAGAGCGACTGCGAGGCGAAAGGCTGCTGCTGGCGCCCGGCTGACTCGGTAGCCTGGTGCTTCTACCCCCAAGGTGGCCCTGCTCCTCCTCCCCCGCCCCGCGCGGAGTGCAAGCTCGCCTACAAGTCCAAAGGTCCACCCTTCAGCGACGAGGAGGAAGCCAAGGTGCGCGGCTATTTCCTGGCGAACATCGACATCCAGGGCTCCGGAGCTGTCGTGGCCGCGCCGGATCACAACACCGGACCTGGTGGAGACTATTATTTTCACTGGGAACGAGATGGGGCTTTGTCCACCCACGCTTTGCTGGCGACGGCGGAGAAGCTGGCCGACGTGGACGAGCACCTGCAGCACTACGTCCAGTGGGTGTTGAAGGTGCAGAACCAGGCGGATCCCCACGGCATCGACATCCGCACGGAGCCCAAGTACACCATCCCCGACGGCAAGCCCTTCGAGGGAGCCTGGTGCAGGCCGCAGACTGACGGGCCGGGCCTGAGAGCCAAGACGCTGGCGGAGTACGGCTTAGCCCTGCTCGATGCCGGCAAAGGGGACTTCGTGAAGCAGAATTTGTGGACGGGCAGCGACGAGAAGCACGGCGGTGCTGTCAAGTATGACCTGGAGTGGCTGGTGTCCAACTGGCAGCAGAGTGGCTGCGATCTCTGGGAGGAGATCCAGTCCGAGGATTTCTTCTGGGGCCGCTTCACCATGCGAGCCGGTCTCGAGATGGGAGCCCAGTTTGCAGAGAAGATGGGCGACAAGGACGCGGCTGGCCGCTACAGAGGTGTCAAGGCAGACATCGAGAAGACGATCATGGGCCACTTCGATGGCACCTTCGTCTTCGAGTCCCAGAATCGCAAGAAGGACTCCGCCGTCATCGAGGCCTTCAATGTCGGCGACCTCGGCCCCGGCGACATGTTTTTCGACGTGCTGGGCAAGGAGGTCCTGGGCACCGTCGTGACCCTCAACGACCTCTTCTGCAACGCCTACGAGATCAACCAGAAGGACAGCGCCGCCGGCATCCCCGGAATCCTCTACGGCCGCTATGAGAACGACAGCTACGACGGAGGCAACCCTTGGGTGCTGCTCTCGGCCTCTTTGGCTACGCTGCTCTACCGCATGTCCGCGGCGGCCTTTGAGCATGGGCCTTTGGATGCAAGCACCTACGCCCTGCTCCAGAAGGCCACTCATATCGAGTCCGGGCTCTCAGGAAATGCCCTGGCAGAAGCGTTACTGGGAGCGGGAGATGGCGTGATGCTGCGCATCAAGCACCACGTCCAGGCCACGGATCTCCACATGGCCGAGCAGATCAGCAGACATGACGGCTCCATGACCAGCGCCAAGGACCTCACCTGGAACTACGCGAACATGCTCAAAGCCTTCAATGCTCGGACAGCTGCCGCGAAGGCCATTGCCGCCACCAGAGTCCTGGTCGTTTGAGCAGATGGGAGACCCGGGGAGACCCCTGCTTCCTTTCTGGTACGGCCCTGGCCTGGCCGAGAGAGGCAGCAAGGCCACTTCAAGCTGCTTTCGAGGGGTCATTTTGAGTTGCAGTCCGTCACCGCTGGCTTGTGAAGGCAGGACAGCGGAGGTGCTGTTTGGTTCCGATTGGTTGAGCCAGAGCAGGGAGATCCAACTTGCACTTGGCAAGTTGGGCTCCTGAAAGTTAGTTTTGCTCCGTCCCTGGTGCGTCCTCCTCGGTGATGATGCCTGCACGGGACGTAACACGGCCGCGATCGCGGACCACCTTGGAATCCTCGCACGCGCTTTCAAGCTGGAGGAGCGAACAAAACTAGAGCCTATACTGCTTTCAACCATGCGACTGCTTTTCCAAGAACTGGAAGCCGCACAGCTCAAGTACTCCTAATTCCTAATGGTTCAAGTTTTCCACCCGCTGTGCCAGGTTCTACCCTGCACTGTTGCGCTTCGGGCCGGGCTCCTACCGAGAGTCTTGTGCTTCTGTAAACGTCAGCTTGAGGGGTCCTGGTGTTGTGTGTATCTGTAGAGACAGCATACCGGCTGTTTTTGCGGTCTACTTCAGAATAGTCCTAGAGTCGTAGGCAAGTGCTGTGTTCGATCATGAAGAGATGGGTTGCCACAGAGACGATTGATGAGATGAGGTAAGAAGTTTTTGCTATTGACGGCTACTACTTTCCTGCCCTTGCCCATCACTCACTTTCCGAGTCTGTGACGGCCATTGCTCTCCCTGAGTTGGGAGAGTATTTAAGTGCATCCGATTATGTTGTCCCTTTAGTGTACATGGTCTTGTATCATGTAAAAACTATATCATATCATACTATATTATAGTATAATATGTTCCAGTGTACGCCGGTGTATAGTATAATGTAGTAGAGCATTATATTATATGATGCAGTTTTTGCTCTGTCACACGTTATGTTATTCGATGATGTGGTCTGTTATATAGTTTATTCTATGGTATATTATATAGCCCATTCTATAGCGGCACAGTATTTTGCAGTCCAGTAGATCCTATTTCCGAACAGAATGCTTTATTGTACAATAGAACGTGTATTATATCGTGTCATGTTTTGTTGTGTTCTATTCCATTCTGTTTATCATATTATAACATGTTTTTTGGTGGTGTAGTATATCGCCTCTGTTCATGTCTATATCTGTTATATGATGATATGTATATTGCATTATTGTGTTGTGTTCTCCCTTCTCTTACATCATTTTCATATGCTTTAATATACTAGATGGTAAATTATTTTGCTCTAAACATGTCTATTCCTTTGTAGTCTCTTCCACGCTATGATGCCACAGTCTGTTCCATAGAATTGTGTTGTCTAGTCTAGTCTTGTATTGTATGATACTGCATTGAACTGTAAAGAACCCTGCATGGTTGTATTTCTTGTACTGTATCGTACCGTATCGTATGGTATGGTATCACGTAGTAGAGTGGTGTCTCTGCTACTTAGGCCTGAGATTGTGTCTTCGAGCGCCTCGACTTTTAACTCGGCGCGGGACTTGGGCCACTACCCAAAGGGTCCTGAGGAGCGACGTAGCAGAAGAAAGCATAGGGGTTCTAGGTTAGGAATCCTGTTTGTGGGGTTGTGTGACTTCGTCAAAGTTGGTGGATAAACCGTGAGCCAGGCCGTTTCGGATGCAGAGGCCAGGTGCTTCTGATCTCCTTTGTAAAGGAGCCTTTGCCCTAGGAGTTGAGTTCGGAGTTGCCAGGGATCGGGCAGCAGCAACTCGCTGCCGCGCTTCGGATCGGAGGCCCCTGCTCTGTCAATGCAACATGAGCTTTAGGCTTTAGATGGCTTTAGGGTTTTTTGGGGGTTTGGGGTTTGAGGGGAAAAAAACAGACATGGTGCCCTGGGGCCAGGACGACCCCTCGGGTCTCTTGGCGCTGACGGGTGTCGTGCCTCTCATTGCCATTGTTGTGGGAGCCTGGGCCCTGATCTCTACGAGCTTGGCAGAACCAGGCTGCCAAGGGCCTCATCAGGCAGCATCTGAAGCCCCAACTCAGCCTTTGCGAGGTCCCTTTGCTGTCTGTGGTCATCCTGATTTACTGCTGGATGCCAGCTCCCCGGTTTTTGAAGTGGAGCGGAACATGAAAGAAGCCAAGCAATGGGACGGATGACATGTGGTTCCAGGTGTCACCACATGTCCCGCATGGTCCTGGAGGTTGTGCTGACCTTCTTTGCCAGAGCGCAAGAGTCACCGGTCTTGCTCCAAGAGCTGCAGCGCAAGAGCTGAAAATTGCGCCCAGGCCTGGGTCCTCGTGTACGCGTCCTTGGCGTACATGCGCCTGGCTTTGTTTTACCCAACGTGGAATGCAGCTGGATGCCATCAAACGACATTGCAAACATATAGTCTCCTTTCGCCTGCACCCGCCTACCTTTCGAGGAAGGTGCCCTTCAATCGAGACCTTTTCGGAAAGGGCTTGCTGGCAGATCTCTCAGTTGGCGTACGGCCGTAGCGGATCGAGGATGGAGCTGGCTCAAACCTATGCCATAAGGTCTCGGTCTGCATCGTCATGTACTCTGCCTTCGGTCGCCGGGAGCCTAGCAGAGCCTAGCAAGCTTTCGATCCTATAGCCCTGGGATACTGCATTGGAATTCAGTGTGCGTTGTTGCAATTGCTGATGCTGCTTGACACCATGGCTCTAGCCAGGAAGCGTCATGAAAGCATGCCATGACAATGTGGTGTGGTCCCTACTTGACACCGGGGATCTCGAGAATCTACAAGCCTTCACTCCCCCGCACTTCGCGTGGCTGTCCATCCACGAGGATGACAAGATAACTCCTCTGCAGCTTCTTGGCTGTTGAAGAGGTGTGTCGTTCATGCCGACACGATCGAGATGGGGAGATGCAGAATGTTTCTCAAGGTTGGCAAGTTGAACTTTCCGAAGCTAAGTTGAGGATCCATGGTCTGCGGAACTCACGTTTAGGCTTTGGGATGTATCCTGCAACAAGACCGCCATCCCAGTAGTCCATAGCCTAGTGCCACAGGTTTCCGTTGCTTTGAGGATGCGTTGTGTCTCAGGAAGGCAGCACTGGCCGGCATTTCGTCGGAAGATTTCGACCCGTACTTTCGGGTCATAGAGTGGGTGGTGGGAGAAGGAGCTGACCCAGCCCAACAAGCCCCCGTCTCCTGCACCTATGGTACAGATCTTTGGAAGAACCACGACAAGAAAGGACTTGCCTGCTGAACATGCCGAGTGATGCCGAATGCACGCCGTTATAAGCGCTCGGTGCAGGAACGCGGGTCCACATCGACTACAAGAATCATTCTGCTGTTTCCCTGGTACTCTCCTGCCGAAAGTGCTTGGAGCATGAGATGAGCCAGAAAGGCGCCAAGTTGGGGCACATGAGACGAGCAGTGTATGGCAACAGTGAGTCGAACATGCGAATCACGTGACCGAATGACCTCAAGCGTGCCGTCTCGTAATCAGCTGTCTGCCAGAAAGTCTCAGCGAACCTCAATCTAAACGGGCAGACTAAGACTTCGAGCATCGGCTAAACATACATCAACATACACTACACCACTACTTGGAAGTCGTTGCTTCGGAACACAGCGGCCCTCTGTCCTCTGCAAGGTGTTTGGTGGACAGCTTTTGCCTTGTTTCGTTGCCCTGCCTCACCTCAACCCTGCAACTTGTTTTCTTAGCAAAGGTTGCTTTACAGCATGTTGGGTAGAGTGCTTATTCAAACTCAGTTGATATTCGCAGGAAGCCTGTGTCCGAGACCTTAACCCTCGACCCGTAGATGCAAGACTCTGCTTTCTGGGACGTGTCCGATTTGCGACCTGTGCCTAAGAAGGCAGGATGATAAACTTGTTAAACCTTAGGGTCTTCGACCCTAGGATACAGTTGTCAGTATTGTGCCCTGCCCTGCCCTGCCCTGCCTCGCGACGAAGGGAGAAAGTTCGCTTCGGCCTCAACCCTAAAAGGAATAGGTTGGGGTGGTTTGGCCGCCTCATGCGGCGTGGGGTGGGAGAGAAAAGGAAAAACCTTCTGCAAACAGGCTTTCGCAGCTCATCGCTGTGGTACGATGCACTCGGCACCGCCAGATACTGTCGCCTACTGTATGCGCCATTTTACGGCAAACCCCAAACCCCTAAATCCAAAGCCCCTACAGAGCCTACGCCGGAAACTCCGAAACACCCTGAACCCCTATAAACCCCAACAGCCTAAACCCCCCTAAGCCTAAACCCCCAATTAACCCTAAACCCCCTATCAACCCTAAACCCCCATAAAGCCTAAACCCCTATATAGCCTAAACCCTAAACCCCTAATAAAGCCTAAACCCTAAACCCCCATTACCCTAAACCTTCAAATAACCCTAAACCCCCAATAAACCCAAAATCCCTATAAGTTAACCCTAAACCCCCATAAAGCCTGTAAACCCTGAACAGGAAAGCAGCAGGCCGACTGGACCCGGGAGATCGAGTACCTGAAGGGAGCGCTGGCACGGATGGCCAAGACCGAGGCAACGACAGATTTCTGTAAGGGCCGAGGGCGTTTCAGGGTTTAGGGCTCAGGGCTTTTAGGGGGTTTGGGAGTTTTTGGGAGTTTGGGGTTGAGGTTCTTTGATTTTGTCGGCTTGGGCGTACGCAAGACGAAGCGCGTTAAGAGAGCAAGAAAGCATGAAAGCCCATGAAGAAGGAAATGTACGGCCATCCAGATCCGACAAGGGCGACAAGGGTCGCGGAAAGCTTTCTGAAAGGCACTTCGGACTGCGCACACTCGCAGGGCTCTGAGACCTCCACCACGAAGTATTTTCCGTATCCAGAGGCAACTGCCGGAAAGCTTACGGATCATCGTCATGCGCACGTCACTGCCATCAAAAAGGATAAGTTGGAGCCGGCATTTGGCTCAGAGAATCACCGCCGTCAGGCGCCCTTGAGAGTTGGGGCGGGCTTGCAGGGCAGGGGGTGGCTTGACAGTACAGTTTTGCAAGAACTTCGGGTCCAAAAGCCCGCTGAGAGTTTACAATGTCGTTGGCGAAACCTCAACACTCAATCAGCACACTGCTCTTGCTTGCTTGAAGTCATCTCCAATCGGATGCCGTTGATGACAGGCGAATGTCAAACCGCCCAGAATCACAATCAGTCGAAGCGTTCTGGAGCTATGGGAGAGCCTGTGCCACTGCAGCAAGACCCACAATGTGACGTTCGAAACATCCGACGGACAAGTCACAGCGCACGACCTGACCCTTGGCTTGTGTCCAGCGGAATTTCCGTTTGGTCTGCAGTTGAATTAGGCTTAGGCTATTTTTTACGCGCCAACGTTAAGGGTGTTGCAAAAAGCATCGCCCGTGTTAGATGCCATGCTATTCGGCTCTTTGGTAGAGGCTCGCAGAAAGACCATCGACGTGAAGGAGCTTTGAGCACATGGCTTCCTTGATTTTCTCCCTAGCCCTAGCTGGATCCCGGGGTAGGGGTACCCAGTTCTTTGCGCAGGACGCCAGCAGCAGCGGAGTCTCCCTCTTCCTTGAGGTGCTATACACTGGATGCACCTGCAACGATCTGGAGTGGGAAACTGTCCTCACAGCGATGGACTTGGCGCACAGATGGGCCGTCGACTACATCGTCGTAATGTTGAGTGGGATTCTGCAGACGCTGATCAACGACGAGAACTTCGTCGCGATCACCGAAGCGGCTGCATACAAAGGCCCAGACACCCTGAGGAGTGGGTGGAACCTGAGAAAGTTAAGCGAAATTGCTGATGCACCCAATGCAATTGAGTTGTCACGCGAAGCCCTTAAGCCTTAGCCTTAGAACTTAGACCCTAATCCCTAAACTCTTAAAGCCTGGAACAACCCTCGAACTGGTGAAATGTCTGCCAGGAAGGCCTGCCGAATGTTTGGCAACAACAACAAGACTGTCCAAGCACAGCTGAAGGCTGGCAAGCTCCCGCGCGTTGTCGCTTTGTTGGAAGTTCAGTGTCGCGGGAACCCCAAACAGAACAGCCCTAAACCCTTAGAAGCCCAAAACCCTGAAATGCCCTTTGAGTACTGTCACCTCAGGTGCAAGACCTGCTTGGAGTCTCCGAGGGTCTCGTGAATGGGCAGAAGAAGAGACGAATCCTATAGGAGCAAACTTTCAAAGAAGAGTTTCGACCCGTGGCCCATGGGTTACCTTTCGGGGCTCCTGTGCAGACTGCAACTGCAGTGTCTGCCCTGCCACTCCAGCTCCGATGTGGGCAAGCCTGAGAAGCTGCCTCATCATCAGGGCTGGTATTCCGAGCCTTCCTCGGGTATGTAGAGATGTGTAGATATACCTTGGTGGACGTGAGAGTGCAGAGAAGAAATTGTCGCCCCAGGGGTTATCTATGTGCACAATCCGACACAGTCCAGCAACCTGAACCTCACCACCGCCAGAAGCACAAGCACCGTTGACATGTCTGTTCTTCCTGCTATAACCACCATTATTAATATCATCCTGGGCACCATCATCATCCTCGTCTCGTCCTCGCCATTGCTAGTATCATCCTGATTAGTGGTATCTCCTTCGTCAGTAAGAGCGACAGCATGCCAGCGCAGCATCGTCGTCACCATCGCCACCGCCAACAGCTGCAACAACCTCCTTAAAGTCATCACCATGATCACGAACCTCATCTATAGTATCCCATGGCCAGCGGCAGCAGCATGACCGTCATCAACGTCGTCCCTATCATCTCTGTATTCGACGCGTAAACATTGACTCAGAGTAGATCGAAACAGACAGGCAACAGGAAAACTCTCGGCACACCCTAAATTAAAGAATAGGTATGCAAGTAGCGAGATGACCACCGAGAACACATCTGAGAGGACTGCTGACAGTGACCTCTAGTTCGCTCAATCAAAAGCTCAGTGTTTGAAAGTGCCAAGGAAACTTTGACGCCATCCTTGTAACAACCATCCACAATCCTTTGTTGGGGCTGTAGCAAACTCTTCGGGGTCAACACCCTGAAGTCTAGCCCAAAGAAAGGCTGCCCGATCGAGTCAGTTCCCTCAACATGGCTGTCCATGGCTTGCTAGGTTTCTTCGTGGGAGTGTGTGGGGTGTGTTGCGACAAGTATTGCAGTACATCAATGCTTGAGCTCCCAAGCTCGAGAGCAAGGCCTGGCAACCTTCGATGCAGACGAGGCGCAGAAGCGGAAGAAGCTCGTGGCAGCTTCCCGGACCCGTTTCACGATCTTTCATGGTCATGATTATTAGGATCGACATCCTACTAGTCACTAAGCTAGAAGCATCGTCTTCCCCTTCGTCATCCTCCTCTCTGCCCCTTCATGACTCAATGCATCAACGTCATCGTTACCAGCAGAATCAACAGGAGATCACCAAAACCATCACAATCTCTGTCATCATCATCATCATCATCTCGGACAACAAAGCTTCTGCAAGCCGAGGCTGGCTTCTGGATAGCACTGCTGCTGCCACCTGAGCTCGGGCTTTCACATGTTGACTGCCTCTGGTGTGCAGGGCAGGCACCCTACTTGAAGTGGTCTGTGGCCCTACCAGGACTGATTTCTGCTTCGGTGCTGAAGAGGCTGAAATATGTCCCGGCCTCATCCGCACACGCCATCTTCTAACCGCAGTAGTTCTCGCAGTTGCTGCGCTTGACGCTGTGCTACGTGAACTTCATGTAGACCTGGCTTTCGGAAGTTTTAAAATCCCAGCGCCCAAGGTGTGCCGACCCTCTTTGTCATGCTTTGTGCATGTGCGTTCCCTAGAAGCCCATACTTGGCGACACGCTGCTGTATGTGTTTTCGCTTAAGCTTCGTTTGCCTGAACACCTGCCCGTGTCACAGACGAGGCAAGCTTGCTTATGCGTCCTGCGAGAACTACATTGACGCAAACCAAGGCTCGTAGATAAGACTTCAGGACAGCATTCAGGTTCTCACTGCCTTGCCAGAACCTTCTCAAGACGACATCCCAGATAAAGATATAGATGCAGTGGAAAGTAGCTTCGGACCATCCTGCCCAGAAGAAGCAGCCTTTGGTCTTTAGCTGAAGCGTGTTTAGCATCGATGCCTCCTTGGTCAGGCACCGAGTTTGAGCTTTCCTTGCTGTCTCCATTGCGGCCGTGTCCTCAGCAGATTCTCAGCAGATTGCGAGGGTCAGAGATCGAAAAAGCCTCGCGCCTCTCCACTGAGAGGCCCGGTCCAAAGAGGTTGGCAGCTCAGCTCCGAGTAAAAAAGACCGGTGCGAGTCGCACAACCGTGCCTTAGGCGACAGGCGGACTTGACTTCGGTGGATCCCGTCCCTCTCCAGGCCCTGCTTGGTTGAGGAACTTCGACCATTGACGGGGCTGCACCCAAATCTCTGCATGCCCAACTCCGCTCAGCAGTGATGTTCGGACATCCGCTTTCTGTTTCCGACCTTGAGAGGCGGATGCCTCGGATGCACCCAGCAGCCCGCTCCCCAACCGTTGTGAGCCATGACAGAGAGGGCAGAAACCAGGAAAGCGCAACGCAACCAGTAAGTAGACAGGTTTTGCTCGAGCCGTGCTCTCATGCACGCGAGAGCAGCTGTCAGCTATCGAGCTTTCTCAAAGTCCGGAGCAACGCTCCGAGGCTCCTACGAGATGCTGGAGGCCGCAGCAGCGCCGCACTCGGGTTGCCAGATGCATCCGCGGATGTTGCAACTTTCTCATCTGCAGTAGTCACAGTCTTGACTCTTTACGTGGGAAAGGACAAGCCCATTGCAACATGCGAGCCTGAGGCCGCGAGGTTCAACACCAGCACTTAGCTGAGCCGCTTGGTTTTAGGGAGCATGCTCCGACTGACCCTGACGGTGTCTACGTGATGTTTCACTCAGCGCGATTTGAAATCGTTTCGGTTTGCAGTGTGAAAGATGCAAAAAGCTCAGTCTCGATGAAGCGAGACGGATCATGCTCGAAGATTGTGCAGCTGCACGTTTCAGGACTTGCTGTCCAAATCCAACAAGTGCCCTGATTCGGGGCTCAAGGGGAGAAGTGGTGCCATGCTCACCTCAGGGGAGTTGGAGCATGGGCTTGTGGGACTCTTAGCCGTAGCGAAGGTGATCCCGTCCACATTGGAGGTACGATTGGGGAATGAGAGCTATCAAATCAGTTCTCGTGGTCGCAGGTAGCTCCAGCCTTAGAGCACTAGGCAAACAGGTGCAGTGCCGCAACGATGCCTTGGCACCTTTTCTGCGTATCGGAGACGGCTGAGGCTTCAAGCGAGCAGATCCCAGTTTGACAGAGCAAGCCGTGTTGATGAGGCAGGAGCTGCACTCCAAAAGTCATCGGTGGCTCGGACATGTTACGTCATTCCGTAGCATTTGTGCCCACTGCGCTCCAATCACGCGATCAGTCAACCATGCAACGAGATGATCTCAGTCTCACAGTGAACGAGTACTACATCACAGATACAGCATGGATTACTGTCATATTATTGTTACACCATCCTAGAATTTAGTTTTCTATTATCACGAAGGCTGCGGCGACAACAACAACTACGAATACTATCGCCGCTGCTGACCACCACCACTACAAGCACAATCGCTGCTGCTCCTACTACTACTCCTTCTCCTACTCCTACGACTACAGCTCTTACTACTACTACTACTCCTCCTCCTCCTCCTCCTACTACTACTACTACTACTACTACTACTACTCCTGCTGCTGCTGCTGCTACTACTACAACTACTACAACTACAACTACAACTACAACTACTACTACTACTACTACTACTACTACTACGACGACGACGACGACGACGACGACGAACGACGACCGACGACGACCGACGACGACCGACGACGACCGACGACGACCGACGACGACCGACCGACGACCGACGACTGCGACGACTATTGCTACTACGACTACACCTTTTGCAGTGAGATGGCTCATGCATGTAGATGGAAATATCACTCGTGCTGTGCCAGTCAGCATTGGTTTGGAATGGCAGCGACGGCATTCAGAGCATGAACAAGAACTCGAGCATCAACCACAGGACCGAGCAGTAGGGTTTCACGACATGGTTGCGCAACAGAATCGCGTCACGCAGCGAGCTGCAGAATTTCGAGTGGCGTGACTTGGACTCAGTGAGTTCGGTTGGTTTGCCCGAACCCGGAAAATATCCGAGCTTTTTGAAGCCTGAAACGGGAGACGAAGCCTGAAGCTCTACAACCAGGATCCCGGGGCTGCCCACGAAATTGAATTCGTAAGTTTTCGCTTTTTTTGAAAACTTTGTGCTGAACTGCCGGCAGCGCGTTGCAAGGTGAGTGATGAGATCATGGACTTGCAGCGCTGCGCTCCTTGCTGCAAGCCTGGGCGCTGAAGATACGGGGAATGTGATCACATGGGGCCCGCTGAGCCTCTCCCGAGACAATGCACTTCAGAATATGGAAGAGGTGCACAAGTTCATCCAGGGGATCTATTACTCCAGGGCTCCGCAGGCGCGGTGGCAGAAAGAGAAGAAGCAGTTCCGATACTTTCAGTGCATGCAGCACTGCAGCGACTGCCTCTAGGCCCAGGCCAATGTAGGCGAAGCGAGACCTCGTTTCTAAGATCCTGAGCCTCGGGAAAGTTGGTGCACCAAAGTTGCCTAGGCAACCTTCCGGGAGATCTGGGAGGACGTGACGGAAGGTCTCGCCTTCCTGGAAAACTTGGCGCTGGGATCAACCCCGGCATTATGCTTCGCCATAGGCTGGGCTTTGAAGAGTCTTCGAACTGAGATTCGCCCCATGCTTCCTGGAGGCATGGAGCTCTACCACTGGTTCTACTTCCGCTGGAAGGACGGCGCGGTCCCACGCGCGGAGGTCGATGAGTCTGCACAGATGCGTGCCGCGGTGCTGCTGAGATGCGGCCTCGAAAGCGCGGGCTGCCTCCAGTCCATCGAGGCACGGGAAATGGGCGCTCCACTTGATCAGAAGCCGTCGGCTGTTCGATGTCTCTTTTCTTGGTCCAGGATGCAGCTCAGCAATCCCCAGAAGCGCAGATTCGCAGCTTCATGGAGCGCGGCTGTCACATCTTCTGGCAGCAGTTGGTCATGATCGAGGCAGAAATCGGATCTGAGCTTGCGAGGCCCTTCGCAATTGGATTCGAGCACGCTAGGTTGCAGGGCACGGAAAATCTCCTAGAATCGCAGCTCCTGCTACCTCAGGCGTGGGGATGTGCGACCAGCTGCCTGGATGCTGCGCAACGCCAGTGAGCACTTCTCCCACATGATGCGCCACCCATACTTCGCCAGGTTCCCTTGGCAGCGTCCCCACGACATGAACTACAATCACGAGATGTTTCCTTCTCCTGGTCCTGTCTGGCCAAGCAAGCTGCTGCCTATTGAGAGCTGGCTGGAGGCAGGGTGAGAGGTCGTACAGCGAGAGACCCGACCCACCCGGCCTTATGCAAGCCTGCAGGAGCATTTTACCACCTTCCGTGGCGAGCTTGACGCTTTGCTGCAGCACGCTGGATTGTTTGATGCACTGCACGAAGCGGAAAGGAACGCCGAGGACCAGTTGGAGAATTTGGAGTCAAAGTAGCCCTAAGAGTTTAAGAAGCCTCTCACAACCTGAGTGCTCTAGTTAAGGAGTCTAAGGGCATGTCACGCTTGCATTTTAACATCGCTGGCAGGGCCAAGACCATGCCCGAGATACCGACTGGACGGTGTTGGAATTGGCGGACACTCGGGAGGAGGAGCCATGGAAGCTGGCTGCCTGTTCTCAGCTGCCTCGTACTTGCCACTCAGCAACTGTTTTCAGTGTCGTACGAACAAGCGGTTTTCGCCGTGATTGTTGTTGCCGGAGGCGACGAATTAGGAGATTGTTTGACAAGGCCGTAGAATGCTTTAGACTACTCTCATGGGTACAGTTTGGGCCGATACGGGGTTGTAGATGTCAAAATTAGGGTAGAAAACAGCCAAATTTGGTATAATTGACCAAGCTGAGGTCTAAATCCAGGAAAGTCTTGGCAATTGCTTGGCCAGGATTTCGATCATAAGAATGATGATATTGATATGGTGATCACTGGAGGTGTTCAGACAGCTCGCCAGGTGAAGAGTGCAGGTGACCAGTGATAATTTGTAATTTGCTAAAGTATACAGCATGCATTCATAGTTGACACAAGCGTTGAACAGAATTGACGGCAGCGTCCCGACTTGGGCCCGGCCCCTTTTTCCAGCCCTCCCAGAAACCCCCAGCCCGACTCTTTTCTGCCAGTGGGGGCTCTGGACCTGTCGGGGCGCGTCGGAAGACCGTGGGGACCCGTCGGGGAGAGGAAGCGCACCAGATTTACTCCGTGGGTTTTGCACCGGAGCATGGACTTACTTTTATTCAAGATACTATGAAGTGTGCCAGAATGCCAAGCAGAGTTTCCGAAAAAATTCTGGAGTTTGACGATTGAGAAAAACTGCTGCCATCATTTGTCCATGCAAACTAAGGTGAGCTCCTGCAGAGAAGGCTGGGAGCCCCTGCTTCAAGCTCTGCCTCTCATCTCATGAACCTTTGCACCTGGCAGAGGCCCGAGTTCCAGTGCGACCACGCTGCTGCATACATCAACCGCATGCGCCCCGGGGCCTGGATCAAGCCCCACATGGGCGGCCCTCCACGGCTGGTTGCACACCTCGGGCACCTCGGTGACAAAGAGGGAGAATCCTGCTAAGGTCCTACTCCCGCTGAGTCAGCGCTTTGGTTTAGACCTTGCCAATTTCTGCGATTGTTGCTTGCGGTCACATAGTCCAGTGTAGTTCTGTCTAGTACTGTCTAGCTGATGCGAAAGAAGTGCATTCTTCGGTTGTGACATAGCTGTCATTGCTGCGAGGCTTGATGTGCCCGCTGCGCTGCTCAGCAGCAAAGTGCTAGACTAGCTTACATTGAAGACATGGTGCTGGCTTTTGGCTTCCTTACCACAGGCCTATCGAGCTATATGTTGGCACTGCCAAGCTGCACTGGCAGACGGGAGTTGCGCACGTCATTGATGACACTTACCCTCATTCCGCGCGGCACTTGGGTGAGCATGACGAAGGCGATGAACGCTGCTGGCAGAGAATTTTTGGAAGAGTTACGACTGTGTTATTTCGCACGGCCGGCCTTAAGTAGTGAAGTACAAGTGATTTGTTAGCACGATCGGGTCGAAAATGTAACAGAACAAGCTAAGTACACCCAAATTAGAAGCACAAGGCTACATCCTCCATCTCCTCATGTGCCATCCGTGCGAAGAGCAGCAGCGAGCTGCATACAGTGGACAGGTGCGTGTCCAACATCAACGACCAAAGTAGCACTTGGTCAGTTCAGGGAAGAACGATCAGGGCCGTGCTTGGGGTGCAGTAGTAGTAGTCGTCGTCGTAGTAGTAGCAGTAGTAGCAGTAGTAGCAGTGGTAGTAGGCGGAGGAGGAGGAGGAGTTGCCGTAGCAGTAGCAGTCGTAGTCGTAGTGGTAGTGACATCGGTAGGGGTAGCGGTGGTGGTGGTGGTGGTGGTGGTGGTAGCAGCGGTAGCAGCGGTAGCAGCGGCAGCAGCAGCAGCAGCAGCAGGCGTAGGCGTAGGGCTAGGGATAACAAGATGAGTAAGAAAGACAATTCGATACAATAGCGTAAGTGTATGAGGTTCATTTGCAACATAGTCGTCATCACCATCATCGTCGTCATCATCACCATTGTGCTTGAGTGTTTGAGCCTCCTGTTGGAACTGGGTTGCAGGATCCGGTGTGCGGTCCAGCGAGCAGCTCCAGTTGAACTTCTGAAAGCTTCCGGTCTAGGTTGGCAAAGGCAAGCTGGCAGCTGCCGTGGCTCCGATGGCTCCGCAGATTGCTGGAGTTATCGACGAAGAAGCCGCCATTTGTGCGTGGTTGCAGAACCATGTAAGAGCAAGCTGACAGGCAACGGCCAGCGGTGGGCTTGGAGTACGAGTACTGCCTCAGTCTGACATCTCGCAAACAGCTCTTCACCGGATTCGCAATTGCAGCGGATCTCGTGTAGCGGGTTTTGATCTTCCACTGGGAGGTCCATCATGGGCAAGGGACAGAACAGATTTTCTGGTCGGACCCTGATGTTCCGTTCATCAGCATCCATGAGTCCGAGCCGGACGTCGATGCCAATTTCGGCAGAGCAATGAAATCTGGCGGCGGTAAGGATAGGGACTGCGCCATCAGCGTAACCATACCTCCAGGCTATGCAAGTGACTGCTTGTGGCTGGCCTGTGCCAAAGTTCCTTTCCTTGTGTCTGGACTTGCCGGGCTTGCTGCTTGTCTGTGCAGGGGTCGACGATCCGGTAAAAGATCCGGTGAGTGGCGCGGCGTGCACTTCCAGCATCTCTGGCCAGCTCACCCGAGAGCGCAAGCAGTTAGCCCATGGCCACATTTCTCTGGTCTTGAACGCGAGTCGGGCGATGTGCGTGGTCCGGAGCCTCTCAAGTAGAGCCAGTGGCGGGTGTCTTTGACGTCTGATGCTATGTTGGAAGGATTACAACTTTCGCCGAGCTTTGGAACCACTGTGGGAGAAGACTGGACCATTTTCCAAATCGCAGCTCCTTCCATCGCCGGTGGCTTCTGCCGAGCACTCTGCTTGTGAAGCGAGTCATGCGCCGGCTGGCCGAACATCCGCAACTTTGCCCCACCACTTGAGCACCGAGCAGTGCTGCGCACCAGTTTTGGACGAGTGCACGAGGGAATGTGTCCACTGCACTGAGAAAACAATGAGCCGAGAATGAGAGAATGCTGGCGAAGCCAAACAACAATTGGAGACAGGGGAGGAGGAGAAGCAACATGGTGACATACCTGTTCTTGTTTCGAGACGACAATGCAATATTGAAAGTTACTGATGATTAAGTGACGAGAAAGTGGAATTATTGGCCAATGTTCTCAAGCCGAGACGTCGTACAAATGGGTTGAAACCCAGAGATACCTGGACAGCTTCATGGACAGCAGGAGGAGGCTGCAAGGCCAACCTCACAGTGTTCGATGGTGATAGATACTTGCACGCCTCTTCCAACCGTAGATCCAGCAAGCGCACTGAAGGCGTGGACCTTATCTGCGAAACTGACCCTGGAGCATGCATTGCCGGCTCTTGCAGAGCTGCTTCCTGGCATCCGTGTAATTTCAGACATTACGACTGAGGTCTGCAGAAGATAGACGTCCCTGCACAATCAAAAGGTTGCTGACCACACTGCGCTTTCGGGACAAGGCAGCCGCTTCTCGGAATAAGGAGGTTCGTTGCCATAGGCAACGAGTCGTAGAAAGCCGCTGACAATGATGAGCCAACTGACAACTCGGTGAGATCGAGTTTGAGGAGCTGCTTCAGGGCCTCAGCAAGACGCAAAGGACCTGAAAAGAGCTTCGGCAGCGGCATGCGGCCTCGCACGATAGAAGTCATGAGATCAAGGAAACTACCACGTGGTAATTTCCAGCTTTTCACTATCGCCTCACGAGCCAGGGGAAAACTCTGGCACCTGCACCGCACTTTACCTGCTGCTGCATCTTTTGGTTCAGCAAATACTGCCAGTAAAGTATGTCAGCATCTGACATGCGTTTGTTGCAGCATGCTTTGCAGCACAATGGTGTTGCAACCTGCCACCAACATGGGTGCACATCTCCCTTGAGTGCCTCAGTGCAGCTGCAGTAGCGACTTGGCAATACATGAGACTCTGCCTTGACAGGTCCCTGCGAGACACCAACGTGGCCAAAATTGAGGACCCGTTTCGGGGCATCAGCGTGATCCATGAAGATCATTGCGCATGGTCGCCCAACCGTTGCCACATCTGTCTGACAGGGGGATGACCTGAAGATCTTCATGGGCTTGCTAGCTGATCTTTTCCCCGGGGTAGAGGCGGAAGTGCTTTGTGCCTTCACCGGAGGAATTGATAAATTCACGGACTTGTGACTGCATAGGTTCCCCGGGCGCGGGATCACAGCTTCGAGAAGCTCTGTGTGGAGGTGGGTCCTTGAAGCTTTGTGGACTTCCTGCCGTCCGCCAACTCTTGTCCGAGGTGATGGAATCTGACTTCGGCTTCACCAACGATCCCGATGGGTGACCCCTGATTTCCCTTCAGGAACGAAGCCGGATGTGCGGGTGATCTTTTCAGAGAAGTGTCTCGGAGGTATCTGCTTCTGAAGATCTCCCAGCTTATCGAACTCTTGGAGATCCGGCACTCCGTCTTCTTGATGGGTGTCGCCCCGAGATCCTGTGGTGGCTTTCAGTGATTCCCGGTTTTTTCGAACCCCGACTGAGGCAATCCGGGCAGTTTCAAGTCATTCCTCTGGAAGGTCTTGAAGAACGCAAAGACCAAACATGGTCCCAGACTCACTCGGAGAGAGTGGAGGGACGCCTTCACTGGGCTCTGTCTGCAGGGGAGAAGACGACTGTCGTGGACTTCAGCCCGAAAGCCATCACAACAAACGAGCTCTATGGAAGTGTCAACATGGACCGTTCCTTAGGGAGTTGAGGGTAGAGAGAGGGAGAGAGAGAGAGGTGTCGATCTTTGCGCTTTTTTTAGCCCCCCGGCTTCTGAGTACACCCGCGAGTGGAAAGACGGCATTCTCTCGAAGACGATGCGCGACTTGGGGTGCCCTTGGCATGTCCCTGTCTCGAGTCATCTGGGATTCTTGCTTTTCTCCTGTCCAAGAGGAACCCAGCCCGGCCCAGAAGATCCCATCTGGCCCGCCAGGCTGATTCCAGACACCCACCCGAAGTGGATCATGCTGGACGGTGACCTGGATGCCAACTGGATCGAATCCATGAACAGTGCTGCGGCCTTGGCCAATGGCAAGCCGAGCATGATACGGGTACTAGGACTAGGAGGAGAGGGGAGCAGTGCTAAGGTCATGGACGACAGCAGGCCTGAGCACTCAAACTCTTCACCTGCTCATGGTCTCCCGTGGGGCTTTGACTGCAGCTGGCAGGCTGCTGACGCTTCCATCCAACGAGCGAATTCCTCTGAAGGCAACTGGGCTCAGTCTATCTCACTATGCCAGCGGTTGGGAGCTGCTTGACATGCTGAGCTCTGTGCAGATGCACATGAAGATGATTTTCGAGATTCGCGACCTGAATTATGCAACCCCCGCTACGGCAACAAGAGCCGGCATCGCAAGGAGCCAAGCCTCCTGATGTGGGGTAGTTGGGAAGTTGTCCTGGCTGCCACTGCAGGGCACACGCATAAATAGCAAGCTTCTCAATGACTGCACATGCTGGCATCGTCAACTATGGTGATCTTGCGTGAGCATGATTCACCTGAGCTTCTCCTACAAGAGCTGCTGAGGTTTGCATGTCAGACAAAGAGGGCGTCCAGTGGCAATGCTATGTGCAATCTTGGATCAAGAAGTGCACGTATCCAGAACCCTTCAAGGCGCCATAGCCCTCACAGATGCAACGTCACACAGCTTCACTGTGCCTTCTTTCCAGGAACAGCTTGCACTGCTCTTCGACAAGTACTGCTCCCCAACCCTGACGTGGATACGGAAATCTACCAAGATCCAGGCAGCGAGCGGAACTCAACCATCGAAGCCGCTCCCTGCAGCGTTCTTCCCCCTGGCCAGGTTCCGTATGTAGAGGTGGCGCTGATCTCCTCGCTTTGCAGCCTCCTAGATGCCCGCCTACCATCCCACAACTTGGAGGCAGGGACGTCGGAAGTCGAAATAGTAATAATACCAGTAGTAGTAATAATAATAATAATTAATAATAGTAATAGTAGTAGTAGTAGTAGTAGTAGTAACAGTAATACTAGTAATCATATTAATAATAGTAATAAGAGTGAGAGATGTGGCACCCGACCCGGAATTCCGTGTACCCTACAGGCCGTAGAAGCCTGGTTCGTCTTCTGCATCATCTTTGCCACCGGAAGTAGCCTCGCGGAAGCAAGGGCCTTGAGAGCTCTCGCTGTTCCGGAAGGTCCCAGGACCACCAGTGTGAATCAGGTGGATGGAGTTGACTACCGAAAAGCTTTCAGCAACTGGTGGAAGAACGAAATGAAGACCATCAAGTGGCTTGACTGACTTCTGTCTCTTTTGGAGCCTCTAAAGAGAACAGGTTTAGGCAAATCTGTGAGCCTGAGGTACCCGACGAAGGGGTTGGTGTTTGACCTATATGTCCGTGATTCGAGGCGTCTTGCTTCAGTCATTCACCTGCTGCAGTATCTCTCCTGGCCCATTCTTGCAGGTTAGAGGAATGGAGCACCCTCGTCGAGCCTCTCCAGTGCCACAGTCAAGACACTCCACACATGTCCCGGCAAGTCTGTGCCAGTCGCATGCGCTGCTCACGCTTCTAGGATGTGGATGCAGTAGGTCAGGTC